ATTAAAGCTGCCGTAAAACTTGTTAAAAATCCCAAAGAAATATTTACTGAAATATGTGACATTTACAGCAACCAATGCCTGTTTTATAGACAAAAGAGCAGGTGGATTTCAATGATAAAAAATTATATAATGGGCATCAAAAATGGGTACCCTCCTTGCCAACAAAAATTAAAACAACTTATGTACTGTTCGCCAAATTTCAACAAATAATATTTGATGATGTATGATTGACTTTAAGACACATAGCAAATTTGATAGACATCACATCGGGGGTAGTTTACACTGTATTTAAGAAACGTTTGACGGTAAAAAAGCTTAGTACTCAAAGATCACCCTATATTTTGAAAAATGAGTGAAAAATCAGTGTTTACGAAAGTCTTAACAATTATTTTAAAATATCAGTAATTGTAGTTATCCACGTTTGTTTTATTTTCAAACAGATATTGAAACATGAATCTATTGCTTAAAACCGTAAAAACACAATTTACCATAAGATGTACTTGTTAAAAACGGCGAATGTCTGACAAGTGCACAGGTATGCAAGAGCACAAAGACAGATTTATATGTAATTTTCTTAAACATTAGTGGTATTGTTGTTCAAAATCGTATTCGGAGAGACAGTTTAATTTCTGGGGGAGTCTAGAAAGCACTTTTTTGGCCAAAAATCAAAAGGTTTATTAGAGGAAGGACCCATAATCAGGAATCCACTACACTGAATTTCTTCAAGACAGCGTCCAAACCCGCATTCCCTGAAGAGTTCAGGAGTTTTGGGATAAACAGAAAGTTAATATTTTTTCACATTAACAATATTCGCCAGATCTTTGACCTTTTGACTTGTTTTTATTTCCAAACTTGGAAAAAAAAACACCTTTCAGAAGGAAGAAACAAGTTCGGGAAATCATGGGACCAGTATACTAAGGGTCATACCCAAAAATGTGTTCTACAAACGATCAGAAATTGGATAAAAAATGTTACGGAGATGTGTTTTACTTAAAAGAGATTAATTAGCAAAATCATGAAGAATAAATCATTGAAAAGCGTCTTTTGCTTCTTTCTGAGCACCGAGGACATTATTTATTGAACAGCCCTCGTATAACGAAACTGTTTAAAAATAGGATATGATTCATAAATTTAATTATTAATAAGATATCAAATTCAACATACAGTGTACATACAATAGAAATCCATCGCAGCTCATTGTAGACGAAAATACTTGTATCAAATAACACACAGTGTATAATTCTGTCCTCATAGGGTCATTTTGAAATTCCATATAAACATTGGTTCTATCTCAAATATCTTGAAACAAAGAATGAAACTGCATTTCATTCATAAAACATTCAAATTATTGTACCGAGGTGAAATGAAAGCCATATAATAGTATCTGCAATACAACGTCCATTGTGGACGTCAATCGATTCTGTTGTGTGTATCCAATATTACTTAGTGAGCTGTCAGATTAAATAAAGTCATTTACAGGCATCCTGACAGTAGTTAGTGTCAGAGCTACAGTGTATGTATAATTAAAGTACGTCTGATATTGTACGTAAAACATCTAATGAACGGCCAAGTGAAGGTCCACAAACACAACCCAGGGTTCGGTTTTAATCGGAATGTCATACTGACTTGATTACAAGACATATCGGTAAAGTAATAACGTGCTCACATCGATGGAAACACGATGACATTTTTTCACGGGTGTAAACAGCGTCTTCAACAGAATTATTGTCCGTTAATGACCGATAAAGATGTCACGGGTCGTGAAGACGACGAGCATTACACAGGGCGCTACCAAATACAGTATTCTAATTAAGAGGTAATCTCTGTACTTATTAACAGCAAAGGTTCTGTAATATTTCTTTTATTTTGCAGGCCTTTATTTGTGTACATCACACGAAATTTATTATTCATCATTAGAATATACTAATACATATAACTAAAAACAGATTAATGCAAAACTGTATATAGCATTGTGGTTTTATATTTTAGTCTTTAGTCTTTAACCATAACCATGACCGTTATGGACAAAGACTAAAATATAAAACCAAGATGATAAAGTGATGCGACTAAAACAGATTAAAAGATTAAAATCTTATTAGAAGCTATTCCTGGTGTACCCCAGGTGACTTCCCCCAGGTGATTTCTACACCTTTATCCACATCCAACTAAAGATAACACTTTCTCCATATTTTATGATTTCGTAGCAACTATGCAAAAATAGCAAGAAGAGGGGGTTAATATTAATGAAGGAATAAAAGATTTTTTTTTAATTAAAAAATCTTTATATTAACGTGTCAATTACTTTCATCATTGAAAATTTCATGAATGAATATCTCAGGTTTATTGTAATGGCTTGGAAACTCAAAGAAAAATAAATCACGCAACTGAAAACCGATAAGACACTACTTTCGATAGCTGTTTAATTAAACCATGTAGAAATTGCGGTGTTCTGTTTTATCAAATATTGATGAACTAACAGTGCTTTTCTTCAGCTTTTAGCATTGACGAAAAACCTACTGCGTGAAGTCAATTCAAAAACAAATACCAGATATATTTGCAAACAGATCGGCGTTTAACCGAAATATTGAGGGTGAATTAATGCTAATCTTAGATGAAATCGATCTTAAGCAAGACAATTTCTGGAAAATATCCCTATTTTTAGCATATTTTCAAGACGCGAAACTATCTATAAATCGTGCTTCGCAAACAAACAAAGCCCCCGAGCTGTTCCCAGACTCTGGTTGTTAAGACAGAAAAAGGAAGTTGGACGGATTTTCACGAGTTACTGGGAAGATGGAACATCTTATCAAAATAGCCAGAAAAAATACAAACAGTAATCGATCTTGCTTCTGGTTTGATTCATGGGAAAATTATATTGCTTCAGTTAAAAAAATATCCAACAATCTAATTTGAACAATATTTCTTGCTTTTCAAATACTGTACATGCCTTCACATCGCTACAAAACTAATGTCCAAACAGAGAGCGCTTATATTTGCCTTAGGAGATTCTAAACATTGCATATTTTATAGATATGCTTCAAAATCTTACTTCAATGCAAAAAAAATAAAAATAAAATAAATCTAATTTTGTCTTCAAAATTTCGATTCATCTTCACAAAAATAGACAATCCCTCGTTAAACCTTGCTGGCAAAAATGATAAAGCACATCTTATACGACACATGTTCACATTGAAAAATGGTTTATTGAAACAAATTATTCAAAGCTATTAATTTAAACGCAACAACACATGGGAATAACGAAATTTCCAAAAACAAAGAAAAAAAATTAAGAAATGAAATAAGGTACAAATATACAATATTTTAAATCACAATCTTACAAAATAGGACAGAAACAATTATTATCCCTATGTTTTCTTATGTGTCCTTGTTTTCAAAAAAGAAAATCTAAAATTGAGAGATAAAACAAGGCCAATTTCTAGTCGCCAGTAACAGTGAAGCACCTTAATTTATATTTAAGTGTATTTTACTGTTTCGATACTGCTGATACCTCGAGAATTTGTATGTACATTCACTTCCGAGAGTTTACAGTAAATAATAACAACTGAAAGTAATTGCTTATAGACTTCCAGACTGACGCCTCTTTGCGTTTGATGGTAATACACTTTGCACAATCAGATGGAAGCTTTAATTTGATAGCTTCTACGACTTTTACATTTACAGCATTATGTTATGTAATATGCATTTGCGTTTTTTAGTATTATTGCTGCATGTTTTATCGGAGACTTTTTTGAGAATTTATAGAATGGCCATGCACTAAAATTAAGCTTTAAATCGAAAGGATCTCTGCCTTCCATATTAACTGAAGATTTTTTAACAAATCATGTCAACTTTTATGGGTAGGTTTATCAAAGCAAACAACAGCATGACGAATACTGTCGATACGAAAAGTAAGATGTTTTTTTAAAAATATAATTTAATCGAAGACAAATTGTTACAAAATTACTATCGAATGAATAAGACAAGAATTCTGTTTCTAGTTAAAAAAATGTGATTATTTCAGTCCAATGCAACTGATTTGTTTCAGGATTCGATAAAGCAAATTTGTGTTTCAGGGGTTCAGTTGACGAATCAGATGCATATAATTTGTTTTTCGTCGCAAAAAAAGGACAAAATACAATGCCTGGAACTATAAAACAACGAATCTTTACAACAGTACTGAAAAGCACATGAGAAAATGCATTGAAACATTTAGAGGCCATAGGCTATCCCAGAAATACTGTATCTTGATCCCAGGTTTTAGTTTCTATAACTGCATGTAATATCGATATTTATTACAGTTTACTGAAACACAGTTAAATGTTTGAGATCACAAAATTGTAGATATTTGATCATTTTAAGAATTATTTACTTGAAAGAAAGGAATTAACAAAGCATACATAGTTAAATTTAAAAATCCTGCATAAATACCCCCCCCCCCCCAAAAAAAAATCATCATTTAAGATGTATTTCTTCCGAAGCATCATCATAACATCGACACTGTCTGCGTGGGTCCCAAGATTTCATTTTTTAATATTTCTGTTCAAAATTGTTCCTATAAAATGAAATGAGTTGAAACAATTGACCTACTTTTGAGAGAAAAAACTGGTAACCAGATCACCACGTGTTCGACTAGACGAGCTCTGCAAACTGTTCTTTAACATACGCATTTCCATTTATTAATTATATTTTCGGCAAATTAAATTTGGTTCATACATGTACAATCGTGCCCTATATTGAAAACCAGTTTTTCGTATAGTTTATGATCTAAAGCAGACTGACGTGTCATTTTTGAATTGGAGCAAGTCTACAATTGCAGAATGGCGCAATTTGGTGTACAGAAAAGCACAGTAATCAAGTTAAAGTATAACCTCAGGGGAAATATGCAAAAGCAATATTTGTTTGAGCAATGAATAGCAAGCAGCAATACTCTTTCAAACAAATTACTTCCCTAAATATGCAAACTTTATTTCGCTTCGGGACTTGAGAAAATCAAATCTTACCTATTGTAGTGATGACTGTGAGAGAGAAATAGAAGGCACCAGCAAATTTCCATTGCCGACCATTTTTGTAAGGTTGTACTTTCCATATGATGGTTCTGAGATCTTCGTATGCCTTTGAGCTGATATTGCATTTAGTTCTAAGCATCATTTCCTCGCTATTTAATTCTCTCCTGACGTCACTTTCGTTCTGCGATTCCAGGGCGTCAAAGACAGCGGCTCCGACCAAGAGATACGTGAAGGTACAAACAATGAGAGATAAAGTCCGAACGTTTTGCTTCTTCATCGCCTCTCAGCCATGTCCGAGAGAGCGCCAAAACTTCAGAGTCTCATGTCAGGGGAGAGGTCTTTTCTCATTTCGCCATTTTCCAAAACTTCCACAAGAGCACCGTAATTTTCAATGATTCAAAGAACCAAGACACAATATTTTCATTTTATTAACCTCACAAAGAAATTGACAAACATGTAAATTTCGGAGATAAGAAATAGGATTGCCTTTTCCAAGAATTAAATCCTCAGGTTAAAATAACATTTTCTCTATGGTAGGATTCTGCCTTTTTGGAATGTTAGGTTTATGGTAATAAACGGTATTCTATAAACTGGTACACTTTAAGGTTAAGAGGAATGTTGAGGTAGATGAGAAACGGAAGCGGCTTGTGGTGACCCTTTTATGGAATGTTGCAAAAGAGATATCTTGTTGAAGGCAGAATTATCCTTTTTATGTTGTCTGTATTATACCCTGTAGAATAAAAAATAAAGGTGTAATTGGGTATTGGATATTTTAAAAGTATAATGTATTGATAACAATTAAGTGTATAAGACTCATTTTCAAAGCATTGATTTTTGCCGCTAGAAACCACTGAACTGTCGTGATAAAGTATGGATGACTGCATCGCGTGCACAGAGTACAGTATTGCGTGATTTTCTTCCATATAGTGTCATGTGCATACGTTATCATAAGAAATAAATACGCCTCAAACTCATACTAATTAGTTGTTATTAGCTATAATTAAGACATTGTTAAACATTTATTTCGTCTTAGCACACACATATTGTCATAAAAAATTACGGTTCTCTAATACAGGTAAAGCGGATCAATGGAACTGTTATTTGAGGTAAACACGTGTCTCGCACGTAAACCGAATTCTCGGTGTTGTACAGTAAAAAAAATCACCACTTACTTACAAAACTTAAAGGAAAACAGTATTTGAAGCGCAAATCACTCTTGGGCTTAGATTGATTACCTACATGCATTTTTCATTAATCTTGATATCGCTAACCACACTCCGATATAAATCGCTATCTTGTGTGTTACGGAGGGATCAGACGAGGGTTTTATGTTCTTTAATAATTCATGTAAATCACAAAATGAAATTTGACGGAACCACGGTTGTTTTCTGGTTAACCATATCCCATCATCCATGGGCGAAAAATACTTAACCTCTGTCTTTATGGGTGATTAGTCACACCCGCAGACATAAAAATAGATTTGCCTAAACTAAACAAATACACGTGGATAATGTAGGTTACTTGAAATTACGGAGTCTGGGGACACTGATGTGTACACCGTATACGTAAATCGCATTATTTCTGTGTAAAAATAGACGGCTTAGTTACATATATGGAAAGATTATGTCAGTGTTAGTCTCATCAAGTCCGTTTACTTATTTATTACATCATAGATGAGTCTTCTGTCATCATGAAAACTGCTCACATCATTGCAACGGAAGAGATTTAGCTAAAACTTGGACTACATGGATTAACTCTGGAGTGAAAGACTGGAACTTACAGTCAACAATATTATAAAATTATTTTTAACCATTGTAGTTTGAAATTAAAAGTCAGAACAAGTGAATAGACCTACAAGGGATATTTCCTCGTTTGTATACAATTCATCGCTGGTGTTCGAAATTTAAAGTTTGGCGTTACATTCATTTCCAACAATACGTGTTCGTTAGCTCTTCCGGATCTTTCGTTGTCTCTGGGCGTCGACCTAGAACTCTTAGTTACTTAATTAAATATTTCTTTTAAATAAAGAGATCAACTTTACTCTTTGTTAAAAACCAACCAAACAAACTTTTCAGAATTAAATTCATATTGAGAAAATGACGATATAGATACAGAAAACGTAGAAAATTGAGAAAAAGGATATATTGCTGCGATCAAGTCAACATGATTAGACTAAACGCTAAAGAAATTGTCAGATATCATTAACAAGATGCCACTTAAGAAGGTCACAAAAAGGACAACTATAGCTAGAACATGCCATCGGAAACACAAAGAACAATTCCTCTAATTCTACTGCAGAAGTCCACGGCCAGGCGCCATTAGAAGGAACCATCTAGGACAGTGTGTATAATTATCTCATCCCATGCCGTGTGCCTTTTTTTACGATTAAAAAAGGAATCCTTCAAAATACACATCTTGTAATTTTACATGAAAGGATATTTTTTTGCTAAATAAATAGGATAGTTTTGATGAATTTTGATGTTTGAAGAAATGCATATTTCAGTATGAAATATTCTGTAATTCTTTACATAACCACCAGAACAGAAGTACCAAAATCACCAAATAACCAAGAGGATAACAATACAGTTTTTCAATTTATTTTGTAAATCCCCATTTTTTGGATGAGGTCTATGCTGATTTCTGAATTTCAAAAAAAAAATTGATTAGAACGAACTAATTTTTCAGCAGTATAAAATAGGAAAGGATTGGTCTTTTTATCACTTGGGAACAATCACCATTAGCTGTGAAAGTAATGCTTCAAGAGCTCAGTTAATGTCGATGAATAAACAAATTAGACAGAGTTTATTTTTCTATGAACCCCTGTGGATTCAATGTAGGGTTTTCTCACATCATTTGTCTTTTGGATAATCATTTTAAGACATGCAAAGTCATGATGACACTCATAAAATGATCTTGTTTTGCTAATTTTTCATATATAGTGTATCAGTAATTTATATCTGGGGATGGGGGTTCCAGATTAAATCAAATGGGAAATGTTTAATCGATTGCTCAGACAGTTCAAAATTTAAAGCAGAAAAAAATCTAGGCACTGCTGGTCAAAAAAGCGATATAGATATTTAATTTCATATTAAAAAAACAAACCATAACATTACACATTTTTCAATAAAAAATAAAAATAACATTGAATAGATAAATTGTCAACTTTGAATGTTTTCTTGCCACATCTCAAGGAATGGCTATAGGTTCCGTTACATAATTCGTATAATGTACTACCTGTATCTCCTTTAGAGAAACAACACAAAAACATTCATACAGTATATGAGACATTTATATTTTCCAGGAAAACTGCCCTACATGTGGAATCATTGCTTTTGTCATACAGCGCAATGATTATCCTTTGGTATGCATTGTGAAGGGTTTTTATGCGACTTTAATCTACCCGACACCGATAGCGGGTATAATTTTCTGCCAAGATCAAGCGTATTTCTGATATTAACAGATGAATTCGACCCCTACTGAGTATTAATGGGTAGTTATAACAACTTTATTGTTGCTCTAATTAGCTATTAACCAAGCCAAGCTTTTCACGATGTTGCGACTTCGGTTTCGGTAATTTCGGATTCTTGGGCTCACGTGTCCAGCACATACTTAGTAATTCACTTAGCAAGACTTTCAAAGGTTGATACCAACCGAATAATATTCTAAAGTTAGATAGTAAAACAGTTTTTGTAAATATATAGAAATAATAAGTCAAGATAATTACAGTGTACACGTTACAAAATTTTTACTTCGCTAGAACGAATTGCTTCCTGATTTCCAAGAGAGTTCATTCACTTCAAAGTGGTCATTGCTGTCGCGAGTTTCGATCTAACGAGCAAACTTTAAGAATGAGCTACAATCAAAGAAGCAAACAATCCTTCATTTCGCTGTGAAATTACTATTATTTTCCCAGTAGTGACAATGCAAAATGTTCTTCATTGCGAAGATTAATCAGTCTCAACCGACCCCAGTCCCACATGAAAAATACAAATGTAAAATTGATAAGGCAATTGCATTGTTACTATTTGTAATTGTCATGACCAAGTCAGTATACATATATCTAAACAAAAAGCAGTGGAGAACTACGAGGGAACAGGCTTTTATCAAAAGCATGACTAAGCTTTAGTAAGCTAATCTGATCCCTTTGTTCACGTTCTAGACTTATGATGTATTGTACAAGGAAACAACCAATTTTCACAAAACAATATTTATTATTTATATTTGAAATATTAGCAGTTTATAAATAATTAAAAGGCGCTGTGTAAGTTTTGTTACTGTTTATCATCCTATATAAAACAAGAGCCTTAGCTATTTCCGGTTCTAGTCATAAAAAGTTAATTATCAACGAGCTGTATTATAAGGCTAAAGCTTGATATTTACGGACAATTGATACTGTTAACATGAAATTAAATTCTCTTGGGTAAAGTTAATTGACTAATTGTAGGTGAACATTTCAGATCGGGATCGATATTATCTGAGAACTGACTTCCTGTAGGTAAATGCACCCGAGTTATGCAATGTAAACTAGATCTGCTCTAATAACCAAACAACCTAAATCTTCCGATTCTGTTTGGCACAGATGAAGACAGATCAATAATCGACTAGAACGTTGTTTAAAAATCAATCAATATTTACAGGAGCTGTTATTTTAATCTCATAAGTAACTTAATTAATTTTAAAAATCGTTAAAATGGAAAATTCATCAATAAAAAAAAACATTTGTTAGCTTAAAACAAATAATGAATTTTAATATTTTTTTTCTAACATTCAGTCCCAGAAAGTGCGCAATAATTTACTTAAATGCTTTCTAAGATAGGAAATGTTCATTGGACTTTTCACGAATCCTTACTCCATTACACACTTTACATAATTTAAAAGAATTAGATTAGAATTGGCGTTAGGGATATAGGACTGGGTCTGAACAAGATTTTAGGGTAAGGGTTAGGGAAGTGTGTTAACACGGAGGGGAAAGTATTATATTCTAGGTTCGAATTCGTCTAGGTTTGTTTTTCACAGATGTGATAAGCCTGTGCTGTAAGAGGATCCCCAACACTGAAACGGACAGTAGACAGAATTCAGTTCCAGGAATTGATTTTTCTCTATTAATATTGCTAGTATGTTAATACAACTTTCGTCGGAAATGGCTTCATTCATTTTATACAAATGAACTGATTATATTTCACTTAATTTAATTGATTACACGACACAGGTTGAACAGGTTATTAATTCCCTGCTGAAATTTCTTTTCAGAACGATAGGACATGGGAAGTGTATCATAATTATGTCTCATTCAGACCTTAGAGACTATTCCTTTAAACTAATGCCAGAAAAATCTGTAGAGTAATATCACAAAGACGTTTAGTCTAGCATCAAGGTCAAATGGAACAAGTTTAAAAAGAGTACAGCGCTGTGCAACAGAGTAACACTACAGAAGTCATAAAGTTGTTTAAAAAACTACATGTACATCCTTCTTCTGTCATGTTGTAAATTTTGAATTTACCGGGTGGCAGTATATACAAAATTTACAACATGTAAATTTTGTATTTACTGCCACCCGGCAAATTCAAAATTTACAACATGACACTTCCTTTTCGTTAAAAAAATGTTTTACGGTGTAGTAAAATTAAGAAAGAAGAAAAGAACGTTACATGTTCATAGAATTATCGGAGACGTAAATACCGGTGTTAACCGCCGTATTGCAATAAAACATCCCCAAGGTTACATGTACAAGAAGTCCATCATTTACAGATTACTATAATAACTCCCTCTTAAAAAATACTTGAGTAGTTTAGTGTTCCCTTTACAAATACAGTCAGTCCTTCCGGTTTAATAATTTTCATCCTGCAGTTCAAAACAATTAAACAACATATTTTACTTTTAACGCATATTTGAAATTTTAAAAAAAGCCCACCATTTCTTGTATATCTCGATTTTCCTTTCTTTTCATATACAGTGTCATCTTAACTGCAAACTTTTTATCATAATAATTTGTCAGAGGATAACATTTCTTGTTCTATATCATATTCTATGCAAAAGTTAATTAAATACACCTATATTAACACCCCTCCCCCATCACCGCTACCTTTTCAACACGTTATCTGTATGAAAGGTATGAAATTTACCGTTTTCTGTTCTATATTACGATTGCACGTATGATGACAAAATTCACGGTGAATAACATTGGATTTATTGATGCGTCTCTATTTTATTCAACACCCGCAACGAACACCTATTGATCTGGCGTATTTCCCTCTCTAAGGCGGAAAATATGAAAATAATTTTTGATATTTCATAATTATCGGAAGTACTTAAATTGCATAATCCCTTCACGCTGTAGGAAAATTCTCCGCGCTTTGAGTCTCGACAATAAACGATTTAGCTGTTTGATCGCGCGGCAAAGGCCACAAATTTCATTGAGATTTCTATGTTATGAAGTGCACTGAATGAAAAATAACCCATACAGCATTAGTGTAAAGTTTTGTTGGAACTATCTTCATTATCTTTTTTGCCGATCTTTCGCATATCTAAAATCATACACAGGTCCAAATAAATTATGCCCTAATTACACGCCTCCTTGATAATATCTAAGAATCTTTTAATGTTTTAGATACCTATGACATCATGCCGTTAGATATCATACATCTTGAAAATTATTTCTGGGCGATATTTTTTAAAAAACGCAGAAGTTTGTGCAATATTAACCAAAAAAAAAAAAAACATATCAAATTTACCCTTGACAGCTTCAGTGTTTAAACTGACCGGAAAAGGTTTTGTTTATATCAATTATGTTTTAAAACACGGTATAAAGGACCACATTTATTCACGTGTGTTTACTCGAACGTTAATGGTGTGTCAGTTAAGTGAAAACATATTGATGCCAGATGAAAGACCTATGTAAATATGTTTTATTTGCTACCTGATTATATACAAACAAAATCGCACGCGCTTTTCATCAATAGGAATCCCTTTGCATTTGAAACAGAGCACCAAGATGTTCTATTTTAAACTCGTCTTCGTGTTAATAGTATTTTCTGAAGAAACTTACCTTTTTCAGTGTCAATATCCGATAAGTAATTCCTGGGCAGAGAAAAGCCGGTTGACTAAATTTGGAAAATATCCTGCAAATCAGATGAGCAAATCTGATTGTTAGAGATAGAAACCACAGAGGCTTAAACTGGCGAACACAGTGCAAGGAAAGTAAAGCACATGGTGCAAGATTAATCCAGGACACTGTGCAAAATCCAACCGCGCTGCCCCCAAAATGATGAATGACGTCCACAAAACAAGGGTTCATCTAACATCACTACTAATTTGTATCCCGTGCTAAGCTTTTCAGATCATATGGTACTAATCCCCTGCGCTCTGCTAATTGTCCCTTGTCTCTTTAAAGAATGATGTTTTCCCTATTGATTTTACTCTCAACTGTTCTTTAACAAGAGATCCGCTGACAGCGTACCATTTTCCTGTCGAAATATCATCATTTGAAATTGCCACACATGGATGATTTCATCCCAGTAATTCGCCATATGTCCGACTTTCACATATATCAGTAACGCGATTATACATGGTGGGAAGGGATGTTGCGGTTACTGGAGAGCGCTACAGTTAAAATGATGCATTACTCTAGATACTTTATACCTTGATTTTTCGTGGTACAGTCCGTAGCTATAAGTATGTAAACTTGACATAGGTATCACTACTGTTTATATGTAGCATTCGCTAACGTTCCTTCCTTAAAAACTCCAGATGCGCGCGCGGACATAGCGAAATATTGATCCTACTCCTCGCACATGTCGTAGTAAAATGACAATGGCGGGCATTCTCCAATATTCCTATTGAAAAATCTATACTCAATGGTGAACACTAATTTAGGACAATTTAATGATATCAGCTGGGATATAAAATCTTACACTTAGCAGGAACATGGCTATAGCTATCTTCGTGCAGATTCTTCTTTTGACTTTGCTCAAATTCGATTTGTTCGGGGTAATTATCTGCCATATATCCCAGGGATTAATATCAGCCCGCCGAAAAAAAGATATTACAGCTCCAGTGTGTAAATCATCAAGGATGTCTTTTCTTTGCGTCTAAGAGGTCAAAACACAGTTGTCATATTTTACGAAGAACTGTCGACCTCAAATGTCTTTTCGAGCACAGTTTATTGAATTGCATCTTTCTGATTCATCGTGTTCTTTAACAAAAATGGCATTGTAAAACTGTTTATGATTGATGTATTTGTCCTTTCAATTTTGCGGTTCTTACCCATTAGAGGCGGATCCAATCTCTTAATACACAGCCCTAATCTCTTTCATTAATTAAAACTAGAAACTTATACAAAATGAAAGAATACTAGCACACATTCTTCATGTATCTTATTTTCTATGCGAATTTGCAGACGTCCACACTTTTCTTGAAAGGCAGACGTTCATTATTAATATTTCATCTCATCATTATGTAAAATATTTTTATTCTATTTGTACTCAAAGCTAAAAACAATGAATATGGGATAAATTATAGTAATTTCCTTACGTGGAACCATAAACTTATGCAATGATTTGGTGTCATGAATATTCCATAAGAACACCAGATGTTGGTGTTTTTTGCTTGACTTTGTTAATTCTTGTTTGGACTTTTCGGATACCCCCGAGACTTACGCTAGTAGCAGTTGGTGCTCTTTTGTTATACCCCTCTCAATGGCCTTGTAAAATCTCATCTATCATTTACAACCCACAAGAATAAGATGCATTGTTCAAATAACAATACAAACGGCTGCTTTGGGATAGGAATTTTATACTATTCCTAGAAAGAATATGCATAAACCAAGGTATGATTATCAAAAACACCTGTGTAAATTCATACTCAATTCACAGATCGATATGCTTGACCACTTAATAATGACAGACATCCGTCTTTGACGCAAATACTTTAAATATAGATTACTTCTGAAAAAAAAATTCTGACAGAAAATGATTTTCTTAATGAAATTCGCTTTCTGCTTGAGAGAAAAAGACATCGCCAGATATGTACGACTCCATGGAACATCTGTGAAACAGATTCGTCCAAAAATATCGTCAATGAAGACAGACGTCTACTACCACACGGAGCAGACGTAGACATTAGCAAAAGATCTTATTTTATTCCGTATCTTTTACACATCTGTCTAGATTTTTTTCTACAATTTATTAAAAGAGTAAAAAGTCACTGCAAAGTTTAAAGCTTTGTTTTACTTCAAACACATTTAGATAGCTGTCGTGATACGAAATCACTCATATAAATACTTTAAAGAATTAAATATACTTTAACTTATACCAAAGATACTATCATTAAAATCTAATCGTTCCTTCAGATCTATTTCTATATCAAATTCAGAGAATTTTAATACCACGCTCAAGAAAAAAAAAGAGGCTGACAAAAGTGAAATTTACGCAGATGCAGAGAGAACAAAGGTCAACCTTGACCTTTCAGTTTTTGGTCTTAGAGTCAATATAGGTATTTATATTATTTGAATTAAATGAATTCATGATCTCATTAATGTTTCATTGTAAAAGGTTACAGAGAACTAAAATTATCATCTGAAAAATTTGTATGCAATTTTTAAATTTTAGACCACTATCTTCCACTTTTTACCTCAAAAGCAATCCTAAGTCTCTTTCTAGGGTCAAATTGAATGAATGTACATGTATATAATTTTTATCCAAAACCTAAAAATTTACAAGAGAATATCCAGAAAACGGTTTTCGTTTACTTTTATGATTTTCTGATCTTAAACGTTTGACTTAAAATTAAGTGATTTTCTTTAATTTACGAGGAGTGAAGAAATTTAAAGAGAATTGCATGTATTAACTGTAAACCAATTTTTTTTAAAAAATGAAACATATGGAAATAACGAACAGTATTCAAGATCAAAGTCCATAAAACAATACAAAATAGGAGCAGAGCAAACACGGACCTCCAAAACATCGGAGGTGGAATCAGGTGCCATGGAGGAGTGAGCATCCCCTGCTGACCGGTCACATCCGCCGTGTGCTCCTTGTCATGATCAGGAAATAACGGGAAAATCCGTCAATTTAGTGTATAAATAATGGACTAACAATTTGTATGAAAAACGTTAGTCAGCATTTGACTCAATGATAAATTGTATTTGCTAACAAGGTCATTTTATCGACCATAGAACTACGAAAAGATGAATTGAAACGAGACTGCCGAAATTCTTGTTTCATCCACTTGTTTGTCAATAATTTACCTCGTTTTAGAAATTGTTAATTATATATGAATTTCTGAAATAGACTTTTGACCCCTTAATTTAACCTCAACACACATGAAGATCCTTAGGTCAATCATGTATTATGAAACAAATTTTATTGCTAAATCTTGAAGGTTTTAAAAATTATCATCTGAAGAAGAAAGTTACAAAGAGACAGAATGCATGAATTTACGATCTTTGACTTTTACCTCTTAAAGTAATGGCGCTCTTTCAATGCCATAAGGAGATTTTGATATTAAAATTTTATCAAGATTGAGTGATTAATTGTATGTTGTTTTAGGTCCCATTCGAGAATTTGTCATGTTGTAAATTTTGAATTTACCAATTTTTAAATACAAAATTTACAACATGATTGTCATGTTGTAAATTTTGAATTTACTGCCACCCGGTAAATTCAAAATTTACAACATGACAAATTGTTCACACATACAGAGACGCAATCATATAACGCGAAGGGCAGGTTTCTTTGTTCTTTGTCACTTCAAAATGCCTATAGCTTGGCGAAAGAAAAGTTGCTACCTTTTTTTTTGGATCGTCTTAGGTCAGTCGCAGCCTTGATTTAAATACGACCTTCCAAACAGGGTTGAGCTACCACGACAGTCAATTTTATAAAGAAAAACGCACAGGAAACTTATGTTATCATCAGAAAACTTTATATAATATATTTGCATTGTATAAATTTTGATCTTTGACGTTTTGACCACAAAATCAATAAAGGTGTTCTTTTGGCTATTGATAGTTCTGATGTAAATCATTGCAAAATCTAACCAGCCGTTACGTCAGAGAAACTGCAGACAGTGAAATATATTGCAAAAAAGTTAGAAGTACATGTAAGTACATGTACAAGTATATGATGTTGCATCCCTAATCATGGATTATTATAAAGAACATGAAAAGGGCGGGTCTTGGTAAGCAAATGTTTATAAGCCGTTCATATTTTCTGAATCCACTACATTAATTTGATAGCGTAAATAAATCCAGCGATTCAATCCCCAGTCAAAACATTCAACGAATTGCTATCATTTTAAAAAATAAGTTATCGATATCAAAGCGCCCTATTTTTCCCCGGTATTTTCTATGATTTGCACATTTTTCATGTCTAGTCCCTTTACTATGCCAAAAATATTCCATTAATATTCTTAAAGTTACTACAGATCATGAAATGTATACGGTATAAGTGCGATATATTGTAAGATGTCTCGTATACATAGTTGCTATATTATGCATTGTAAAAATGTTTGTTGATCTTTTATATTTACTTAATTGAGTTTTGTTTATATATTTTCCCTGTGTTTATGTTAAGTCTTGTCCTACTAACATTTATCTGCTTAAAATAAACGAGCATTCTTTATCTTTCATTCGAGTTGCGTATTTTCGACAAGCTGTTATGAAATAAGTTATCAATATGAGATTCGATAAAGATAAACTATTTTCCACTTTTTCAATACCGGTTTTACAGAGGACTTGTAATGAACATTTAACCATTGTACAATTTAATCGCATGCAATATAGTTATGACATTAAGTTTTGCTCACCTAACTCAAACGATCACGTGATGGGTTAAGAAAGACTTTAAAGATACAGAATAGATAGATATACATGCAAGCGTGCGTCTGAGTACTCTCATTTGCAATTGGCACAAAGGTTTTAGCGACTGCTCTAGTGTCGCGGAGTAGGGAGTTGATCCTTACGTCGCGGTTTGAAATCCCGCTGTAGAACGTGGAGACCGGTCCTTCGGATGAGACCGTATAAACCGAGGTCCCGTGTCGCGGTAGGTGCTGGCACGAAAAAGATGCTCAATGGCCGTAAGTGCCGAGTATTAATTATAAGTAGATTATTCAATGAAATACATGAAAATTAATGTATCCGAATGTAGTAGAAAAATAATCAGAATTTCAAGCATTTTTTTTTGATGTATCAAATTAAATAATTACATGTGTAACCCCCCAAAAATTGCTGATTAATGATTACATCAGCTTACACAAATAACTGTATTCGATTACAGTTGATTACATCTACTATTTTACCAAATACGTCAATCGTGTACAGTATACGACAGGCACTGGATTTTACAGACAAGGGATTTTAAATCACGACCCAAAGTTTATAGATGGAACCCAGAAGTTGTAAGATGTGTGAGAAGGAATGAGCATCTCATGAAAATAAATGGAATACAATTTTTTTCAAACATCTCCTTTGTTTAACAAGAATTTATTTAAATCAGGTACGATAAGAAAAATTCAAAAATGAAAGACTTAAAAACACGTCAAATTAATAATTAGGTACATCGACATAGCACCTTGTGCAAGTTGCTACAAACTTTACACCGATTGCTTCAGGGACGCAAAGATCCATTTGTATACTGATTTATCTATAAAATTGCTTTAATAAAAACTATCATTCTTTTCATCTCAGCATCTCGCAGGCAATAGGAAAATTTTACTGTGATTATTTCATATCAATATCTCTAAACATAAAAGCTGCATCTGATAAAGAATCCGCATTTTTATAGAACTAAATAGTCTGAGTTCTTGTATTTTCAAGGTGTTACAGGTACAGGTGCCAGGGTAATGT